TTTCCCAGGGGCGGTTTTTGGGATTTTCCATTTTAAAACCCTTCTGGGGGGCGGGTAAGGTAGTTGTCCTCCCTTTAACTCCTCTCCGGGGAGGGCTTTATTTTTGAATTTCCTACCCCAAATGGAAAAAAGACCCCCCTTTGGGGGCCCCCTTGTTGTGGGGGGGCCAACGCCCCCTTCATGACCCCAAAAAAAAAAAAAAACCCCCTGGTTAGGGGGGGGGGATCCCCTTACCCCCATGGGGAAAACTCCCCCCTTTGGGGGCCCCGGGCCCCCTGGGGGGTTTTGCCCCGTTAAGGGGGGTTTTGGGGCCCAAACCCCTGGGAAGCCCTCCCGGGTAAAAAAAAATTTTGGGTGGGGAAACCCATGAAGGTGGGGTTCCCGAAAAAAAAACCCGTAAAAGGGTCCCTCCCCTAAAGGGGGGGGCCCCAGGTGGTGGTGGGGGGGCCCCAAATGGGAAAAGGGGGCCCCTGAGGCTGGGGGGGGGTGCAATTTTGGAGGGCCCAAAAGTAAGGAAAATCGTGGGGGGAAATTTGGTGGGGGGGGTCATTGTTTTGAAAATTCTTGTCCCCCTTTGAAAGAGGAAATTCCCCCCTTTAAGAGAAGAAAATCCCCCCCGTAAAGGAAAAGAAAATGCCCCCCCAAAGGGAGAAGAAACTGGGGTAAAAAAAATTGTGGAAAGGAGGCCCCAAAATAAAAACCCCGGGGAAAAGGAGAGAAAATCCCCCCCCGTGAGGAAGAAACACGCCCCCTGGGAAAGGGCCCAAATACCCCCTAAAAGAGGCCCAACACTGCCCCGCTTTGGGGGAACACATAACCCCGGGAGAGAAAAAGAAGGGGAAAACACAAAAACCCCCCAGGAAAGGGACCAACCTGCCCCCCGGGAAAAGGGGAAACATTAAAAACCCCCGTAAGGGGAAGACCAAACTAACCCCCTGGGAAAAGGCCCCTCCCCCTGAAAAAGGGGGAAAAACTGGGGGGGAAAACCCCCCCCGCGAGAGAGAACCAACCCACCCCCCCCCTGGGGAAAACCCCTCCCCCCCGGAAAGGGGAGACCAAAAACCCCCCGGGGAATTTAGAAAATTTTAACCCCCGCTAAAAAAGGGGCCAAACCTGACCCCCCCCCGAAAAGTAACCCCCCGGGAAGAAAACCCAACCCTAGACCCCCCTGAAAGAAAAACCAAAAACCCCCCCGCTGGGAGGGAAACCAAATAACCCCCCTTAGGTGAAAAATGCCCCCTAAAGGGAAGACCCCTTTCCCCCGCGGGAAAGGCCCCTTACCCCTGGGAATAAAACCCCCCTTTCCCCCCCTTTTGGGGAGGCCCCCTAGACCCCCCTGGGGAAAATGCCCCCCCCTGGAAAAAACCCCCCTCCCCCCCCCTTTGGGGGGGGCCAACCGACCCGTGAGGTTTATAGGGCCACCTAAAACCCCCCTAAAGGGAGGGAAAAAACCCCCAAAAGACCCCCTTTTAAGGGCGAGGGAAAAACCAAACCTGACCCCCGGGGTTTGGAGGGGGCCCCCCCAAAAAATTTTGCCCCCCCGGGGAGAGGCCCCCGCCCCCGGGGAGGGGGGGCCCCGTCCCCCCGGGGGGGGGCCCCAAAACCTAGACCCCCCCCCCCTTTTTGGGAAGAGAGCCCCCTGCCCCCGTGGGGAGAAAAATGGGGAAAGGGCCCCTGAATATCTTCCACCCCCCTCCCCCCCCGGGGAAGAGAGACCAACCAAACCCCCCCCCCCAAAGAGAGAAAAAAGAGGAAGGGAAAAAAAACCCACTAGCCCCCCTTTTAGAGGGGAAACCAACATAACCCCCCCTGGAGAAAAAACCAACACAAAAGGGAAACCCCCCCCCCTGAAGAGAAGAGAAAATGACCCCCCCAAAAAACCCTAGCCCCGCGGGGAAAAAGAGAGAGACCAACACTAGACCCCCGCTGGAGAGAGAGAGACCAACACTAACCCCCCTAAGAAGAAGAGAAGCCAACACAAACCCCCCCCGGGGGGAAAAAAAAAGGGGAGAGAGAGACCAAACCAAACCCCCCCGCAAAAGGAAAAACCCAAACACTAGACCCCCTGTTTAGAGGGACCTCCCATCAACCGGGGTTTTGGGCGTAAAGGGGCGCCTCGGGCTAGAAGGACCCAAAAACGGTGGGGGGAAAATTGGGGGCAGGGAAAACCCCCCTTAAAAACCACTTTTGCCGGGCGGGGGGAAAGGGGGGCCCCATGAACCCGCGAAAAAGAGGCCACTTTGAGCTGAGAAGAAGAGAAAATGGGGGGGCTTTAAAAAAAGAAAACATAAACCTTAAAATAAAAAATTTTCCCCGCGAAGGAGCCACCCAGGGGGTTAGGGGAAAAAAGGGAAAGGGGGCCCCCCCGGGGGAACTTTTTTTTGGGGAGAAAAAGTAAGAGGGTTTAGCCCCCAGGGAAGCTTGGGGGTTTTAGAGAGATGGGGATCCCCCCGGGGGAAGTGGGGAAAAATTTTTGGGGGGAGCCACCCGGGGGACTTTTGAGGAGAGTGGGACCACCCAGGGAAGCATTTAGTTTGAAGGGGACCCCCCGGGAATTTGGGGGTAGAATAGGGGTGAGTAACCCAGGGGAACAGTGGGGTGGGAAAAATTTTTACCCCCCGGGAAGCGGGGTTAAAGGAGATGGGGTTTTGCCCCCGGGGGAATAGCTTGGGGGGTTGGTGGATATTGGGGGAGCCCCGGGGGAAAAAACTTATTTGGGTTTTTAATATTGGGGGAGTCAAGGGGGAACTATTTAGAAAATTTTGGGTGTTGTGGGGGGTGTTGTTTGTGTGTGTGGGGGTTGTAAACCCAGGGGGAACTTAGGGGGTGGGGTTAGGGGGTTATGGGGTTTAGTGGGGGAGGGTTTGGTTTTTAGGGTTTGTTGTTGAAAACCCAAAAGGGGTCCCCCGGGTTAGAGGAGAAGGGTTTATTTCCACCCAAAAATTTTGTTAAAAGGGGTTTTAGTGGGGTTTGTTTGGGGGGGTGAAAGGTAAACCCCGGGAATTTGGGGGGAAAAAATTTTTTGAAAAAGAGTGGGTTTTTTCCCCCGGGGGGGCTTTAAAAATGTTTGTTTAAAAAAAAAAAAGGGGGAAAAAACTTTAGGTTTTAAAAAATAAAAAAGTGGTTTTTTTTTAAAACCCCAAATACATGTTTTTATAAAATAGTGTGGTGTTACCACCGGGGGAACTTATTTTAGTATTTTTCCCCTGTTTGGTTTTTTTTTTGGGGTTCCCCCTTTGTGTTTGTGTTTTTGTGGTGTTTGTCCCCCGGGGGGGGGGGTTTTTTGGTAAAGGGAAGATGTGGTGTTTTTTCCACCCCGGGGGATGTTAGTGGGTTTTTAAGATTTTTGGGGGTATTATTTGTGAAAAAGGGGGGAAGGTTTTAAAGGGGGTTGTAAGAGTTTGTTTTTGTATTTTTTGTTTTTTGGTGTTTTTTCCCCCAGGGGGGTGCTTAGTGGTTTTTTAATTGTTTTTGGGGTTTTTGGGGGTGTTGTGTGTGGTGTGTTTAAAAAGGGGGTTAGGGGGGTTTTTTTTAAGGGGGTTTATTTTAAATATTTTTGGTGTTATCCACCCAAAGGGTTGGTGAAAGAAGGGAATGTGGGGTTTGCCCCCCGGGGGGGGAAAAAAAAGGTTATTTTAAAATTTATAAAAATTTTTAAAGCCCCCGGGGGAATTTTTTTTTGGGTAAATTTAGTAAGGTTTTGTGTAGTAGTGTTTAGTTTTTTGGGGTTTTTAGTAAAGTTATAAAGGGGAATTTATTTATTTTAGTGGTTTTAAAAGAAAAAATAAAAATGGTTTTAAAAAGGGGAAATTATTTTTTAAGAAAATTTGGGTTAGCCCCCGGGGGATAGCTTATTTGAAAAAGTATTTTGTTAGGGGTGTTTTTATTTAAAAGGGGGGGTGCTTTGGGGGGGTTTTTTTTGGGGAAGGGGTTTGAGTAATGGGTGTTTTTTTAAACCCGGGGATAGCTTATTGGTGATGTGAAGGGGGGGGTTTTAGAATTTTTAAACCCAGGGGGATGCTTTAAGTTGTGTTAAGAAGTGGGGGGGAACCAGGGGAAAAAAGTATTTAGTAGTTGTAGTTTGGTGGGGGTTTCCCCGGGGGAAAAACCCTTTTTTTTTTATTATTGTTTTTTTTTTTCCCCCCCTTTTTTGTGGGTGTGAATTGTGGGGGGTCCAAGGGGGGAGTTTTAGTGGTTTTAAAGGGTTGTTTGTGGTGGGTTTCCCCCCCCAGGGGGGTGTTTTTTGTAGATAGTAAAGAGTGGGGAGCCCCAGGGGGGGGTTAAGTTTATTTTTTAAAGGGGGAAAGTATTTAGTGTGTTTGCCCCCCCGGGGATGCTTGTGGTTGTTGAAAAAAGTTGTGGGGTTTCCACCCAGGGGGTACTTTTTTAGTAAAAAGTGTTTTGGGGATACCCAGGGGAAAAATTTTTTGGGGAGGGGGTTTATAAATGAAGTTTGACAAGAGATTTGAGGAAAAAAGACATGGTAAATGAGAAAGGAAAAGGAATGGTAGAGAAGAGCCTGTACAGGATACGGTCTGTCAGCACGGTCAGTTTCACATCTCACCCAACACCCAGTGCACTACATTGGATAGGGCATCAATTCAGACAAACATCCAGGGTGAGACAGACAGACAGACGGGGTGAGAGACAGGCAGACAGGGTGAGAGACAGACAGACAGACAGGGTGAGAGACAGACAGGCAGACAGGGTGAGAGACAGACGGGGTGAGAGACAGACAGGCAGACAGGGTGAGAGACAGGCAGGGTGAGAGAGAGACAGGCAGACAGGCAGGGTGAGACTGATCACCTGTGTGACTACAATAAGACGGCGTTTCAACATTACAGAGACCGTCGGTAGATCCAGCGTCCTGACATCACAACAACCTGAACACCCCTCCATCCAGCACTCTGATTGGCCAGCAGAGAGCAGGGAAGTGGATAAACAGCCTGCCTCCACCTGTGTGCTGTGATAGGCTGCGGGCCAGAGAGGAGGGTGGTTGGTTAGCGGGGCGTGGAGGACTTGCAGGCCAGCAGTTTCTCCACCATCAGCCGAGCGTATCTCATCCTGCTGGCCAGCTCCTTACAGCAGCCAAACTCCTCAATCAGAGACATCTTATAGGTCCGGAACTCTCTCTTCTCGTCGATGAAGGACACCGCACCCATCAGAGGACACAGGATCAACTTGGTGTGGTCCTATAGAAGACAGGGGACATAGATAAGACTAAACTCACACTGGGTAGAGAGAGAGAGAGAGAGAGACAGAGAGAGCGAGAGACAGAGCGAGAGACAGAGCGAGAGACAGAGCGAGAGACAGAGCGAGAGACAGAGCGAGAGACAGAGCGAGAGACAGAGCGAGGGAGAGAGAGAGGGGAGGAGGAGAACCTGGAAGAAGTTGATCTGCACGGTGCCGTTGGTGAGGTGGAGGACGATGGCTGACTTGGTTCTGAACCAGTGGCTGAGGTAGGGCAGGCGGGCCAGCTCGTCTCCGTCACGAGGCGTGATGTTGGCGCCCGCCTTCAGAAGGTGCTCCGACATGTAGTTACGGAAGTACTTCAACAACGTGATCTAGGGAGGGCAGAGGTCAGGGGTCACAGGTCAGCTAGGTTCTAACTCTTTAACAGACATGTAGTTAAAGAAGTACTTCAACAACGTGCTCTAGGGAGGGCAGAGGTCAGGGGTCACAGGTCAGCTAGGTTCTAACTCTTTAACAGACATGTAGTTAAAGAAGTACTTCAACAACGTGATCTAGGGAGGGCAGAGGTCAGGGGTCACAGGTCAGCTAGGTTCTAACTCTTTAACAGACATGTAGTTAAAGAAGTACTTCAACAACGTGCTCTAGGGAGGGCAGAGGTCAGGGGTCACAGGTCAGCTAGGTTCTAACCCTTTAACAGACATGTAGTTACGGAAGTACTTCAACAACGTGCTCTAGGGAGGGCAGAGGTCAGGGGTTACAGGTCAGCTAGGTTCTAACCCTTTAACAGACATGTAGTTACGGAAGTACTTCAACAACGTGCTCTAGGGAGGGCAGAGGTCAGGGGTCACAGGTCAGCTAGGTTCTAACCCTTTCAACAACGTGCTCTAGGGAGGGCAGAGGTCAGGGGTCACAGGTCAGCTAGGTTCTAACCCTTTCAACAAACGTGCTCTAGGGAGGGCAGAGGTCAGGGGTCACAGGTCAGCTAGGTTCTAACCCTTTCAACAACGTGCTCTAGGGAGGGCAGAGGTCAGAGGTCACAGGTCAGCTAGGTTCTAACCCTTTCAACAACGTGCTCTAGGGAGGGCAGAGGTCAGGGGTCACAGGTCAGCTAGGTTCTAACCCTTTCAACAACGTGCTCTAGGGAGGGCAGAGGTCAGGGGTCACAGGTCAGCTAGGTTCTAACCCTTTCAACAACGTGCTCTAGGGAGGGCAGAGGTCAGGGGTCACAGGTCAGCTAGGTTCTAACCCTTTCAACAACGTGCTCTAGGGAGGGCAGAGGTCACAGGTCAGCTAGGTTCTAACCCTTTCAACAACGTGCTCTAGGGAGGGCAGAGGTCAGGGGTCACAGGTCAGCTAGGTTCTAACCCTTTAACAGACATGTAGTTACGGAAGTACTTCAACAACGTGATCTAGGGAGGGCAGAGGTCAGGGGTCACAGGTCAGCTAGGTTCTAACCCTTTAACAGACATGTAGTTACGGAAGTACTTCAACAACGTGATCTAGGGAGGGCAGAGGTCAGGGGTCACAGGTCAGCTAGGTTCTAACCCTTTAACAGACATGTAGTTACGGAAGTACTTCAACAACGTGCTCTAGGGAGGGCAGAGGTCAGGGGTCACAGGTCAGCTAGGTTCTAACCCTTTAACAGACATGTAGTTACGGAAGTACTTCAACAACGTGATCTAGGGAGGGCAGAGGTCAGGGGTCACAGGTCAGCTAGGTTCTAACCCTTTCAACAACGTGCTCTAGGGAGGGCAGAGGTCAGGGGTCACAGGTCAGCTAGGTTCTAACCCTTTCAACAACGTGATCTAGGGAGGGCAGAGGTCAGGGGTCACAGGTCAGCTAGGTTCTAACCCTTTCAACAACGTGATCTAGGGAGGGCAGAGGTCAGGGGTCACAGGTCAGCTAGGTTCTAACCCTTTCAACAACGTGCTCTAGGGAGGGCAGAGGTCAGGGGTCACAGGTCAGCTAGGTTCTAACCCTTTCAACAACGTGCTCTAGGGAGGGCAGAGGTCAGGGGTCACAGGTCAGCTAGGTTCTAACCCTTTCAACAACGTGCTCTAGGGAGGGCAGAGGTCAGGGGTCACAGGTCAGCTAGGTTCTAACCCTTTCAACAACGTGCTCTAGGGAGGGCAGAGGTCAGGGGTCACAGGTCAGCTAGGTTCTAACCCTTTCAACAACGTGCTCTAGGGAGGGCAGAGGTCAGGGGTCACAGGTCAGCTAGGTTCTAACCCTTTAACAGACATGTAGTTACGGAAGTACTTCAACAACGTGATCTAGGGAGGGCAGAGGTCAGGGGTCACAGGTCAGCTAGGTTCTAACCCTTTAACAGACATGTAGTTACGGAAGTACTTCAACAACGTGATCTAGGGAGGGCAGAGGTCAGGGTCACAGGTCAGCTAGGTTCTAACCCTTTAACAGACATGTAGTTACGGAAGTACTTCAACAACGTGATCTAGGGAGGGCAGAGGTCAGGGGTCACAGGTCAGCTAGGTTCTAACCCTTTAACAGACATGTAGTTACGGAAGTACTTCAACAACGTGCTCTAGGGAGGGCAGAGGTCAGGGGTCACAGGTCAGCTAGGTTCTAACCCTTTAACAGACATGTAGTTACGGAAGTACTTCAACAACGTGATCTAGGGAGGGCAGAGGTCAGGGGTCACAGGTCAGCTAGGTTCTAACCCTTTCAACAACGTGCTCTAGGGAGGGCAGAGGTCAGGGGTCACAGGTCAGCTAGGTTCTAACCCTTTCAACAACGTGCTCTAGGGAGGGCAGAGGTCAGGGGTCACAGGTCAGCTAGGTTCTAACCCTTTCAACAACGTGATCTAGGGAGGGCAGAGGTCAGGGGTCACAGGTCAGCTAGGTTCTAACCCTTTCAACAACGTGCTCTAGGGAGGGCAGAGGTCAGGGGTCACAGGTCAGCTAGGTTCTAACCCTTTCAACAACGTGCTCTAGGGAGGGCAGAGGTCAGGGGTCACAGGTCAGCTAGGTTCTAACCCTTTCAACAACGTGCTCTAGGGAGGGATGACCAGAGGCTAAGGACATTCTCCCAACGCTATCTGCACGTTAGCCTGATGCTAGCCACAGCCATAGAGAACCCCTAGCAGCGATCGCTAACCTTCTTGGATAGCGTAGCTGGGTAGGAGCGGACGCTGAGGTAGCTCTCAGCGGCCATCTTGTCGATGTACTGAAGACTGTCTCCGTCAGCGTACATGATCATCCTGGTACAGTCGTTAAACAACACGCCGACGCTGTTGTCACACAGCTGGTAGCCTGGAAGAGAGAGGTCGCGCCCCAACACGCCGTTCAGTGGGGATCACAGTGACATAGGGTTTACAGCACAGTGACATAGGGTTTACAGCACACTGACATAGGGTTTACAGCACAGTGACATAGGGTTTACAGCACATTGACATAGGGTTTACAGCACAGTGACATAGGGTTTACAGCACAGTGACATAGGGTTTACAGCACAGTGACATAGGGTTTACAGCACAGTGACATAGGGTTTACAGCACAGTGACATAGGGTTTACAGCACATTGACATAGGGTTTAGATAGTGACATAGGGTTTACAGCACATTGACATAGGGTTTAGATAGTGACATAGGGTTTACAGCACAGTGACATAGGGTTTACAGCACAGTGACATAGGGTTTACAGCACAGTGACATAGGGTTTAGATAGTGACATAGGGTTTACAGCACATTGACATAGGGTTTACAGCACATTGACATAGGGTTTACAGCACAGTGACATAGTGTTTACAGCACATTGACATAGTGTTTACAGCACATTGACATAGGGTTTAGATAGTGACATAGGGTTTAGATAGTGACATAGGGTTTACAGCACAGTGACATAGGGTTTAGATAGTGACATAGGGTTTACAGCACAGTGACATAGGGTTTACAGCACAGTGACATAGGGTTTACAGCACAGTGACACAGGGTTTACAGCACAGTGACATAGGGTTTAGATAGTGACATAGGGTTTAGATAGTGACAGAGAGAGCATCACATTGACATAGGGTTTACAGCACAGTGACATAGGGTTTACAGCACAGTGACATAGGGTTTACAGCACAGTGACATTGGGTTTAGATAGTGACAGAGAGAGCATCACATTGACATAGGGTTTACAGCACAGTGACATAGGGTTTAGATAGTGACAGAGGGTGTAGAGAGTGACAGAGGGTGTAGAGAGTGACAGGGTGTGTAGAGAGTGACAGAGGGTGTAGAGAGTGACAGAGGAAAATTTTCCAGTTTAAGGCCCTCTGTGTATCACTCTGTTGTTGTGGAGGTACTGGCAGCCTTTAACCAGCTGCATCATGTAGTAGCGGGCCTCTGGCTCGGTCACCGCCTTCCGACGCTTATGCAGCTCCAACAGAGACTGGGGACAGAACAGCACAGGAGAGGGGGGGGGTTAAGGACTATTTTATATAGCTAGGTTAACTTGTATTCTTAGGGTTGACTTCTGAATGTCTGATTGGGGGGACAGGTACTTAGCCTAAAGTTGTCATGCCAAGAAACCAGCTTTCAGTACAGTTTGCACAAATTCCTCAAAAGGGCTAACTACTACTTTTAAGTGCAAAGTTGTAAATAACTTTCATTCAAAAGCACAAAGCTATAAACCTAGTTATTTATGCAATGCTAGTCAGTCAACTTGTGGGCAAGCTGTGGTTAACAACAAAGTATTGTCAAATCAAGTAACTAGCCATGTTGACCGGTGGACTTCCTTTCCTAGATTAGGAAATGGTTAGCTAGCTACAGTAACTAGCAAAATACGTTGTTAGCAAAGACAACTTACCTAAGTAATCAGTCAACAAATCCACTCACCCTTCGCCTGCAGATTTCCAAAACCACATAAACGAAGTCGTCGTCCTCGAAAAAGCCGTGAAATCCCACGACGTGCGGGTTGTCGAGACTCTTGTGAATGGCGATTTCGGAAGTCATCTTCTCCCTCTGGTGAGGCTTGAGAATCATGGATTTGGGGACGACTTTACCGGCGAACACCTCTTTGGTGTCCATGTCTGTGATTTCGTAGCATTTGGCGAACCCTCCCTTACCGAGAAATCTTCCCCGAGTGTACCTTTTCATTGTCCGGGGATCCACAAGGATATCTGGGATCTCTTTGAGAGGTGCCGATTTGGGGTCAACATGCGTCGACGGATTCGCCGCCTTGGCTACCGGTGCACTCATATTGATGTAAACGTGCTCTTCAGTTTACGAAGGCAGAAAATAAGAAACAAGTTTGACAATCTAAAAACGACAATTTAAAAGAAATAAAAATAAAAATGCAAAAAGTTTGGCTACCTACCTCACTACCATCCACCTTCGAGCAAACCACTGAATTCAAATCAAAACCCAACCATTCAGGTGCCCCAAAGTTAACAAACTGTTTTGCTTAAAATAAGCCGTGAACGTGTAGCGTACACGATTGCCCAAGAACCGATAGATTTGACTAAATATAATTTAATAGTAGTGGCAAAAAAAAAATATGATAAATTTGTTTCCCCGCTGTTATTTGCTCTTCGTTTAACAACAGCGTCGACTAGCTAGCTGCAAGTTTAAATGCTGCTCTGTTCGTTAGAACCGCCTGTGATTGGTCCTCCCGATTTGAATTCCAGCAAAGCAGCATGGGAAGGTTGAACCAAAATGGGCCAATTACCGACCGGGAAGTTCAAATCCGCAGCGCCGATTGGTCAAAACCCTGTAGCTAACGCTACGTTCATTAAAACACGGACCAATCACCGACAACCAGACGATAACCAAATGAACTGTGGGAAGTGTAGTAAGCTTTAGTATTTTCACGACTGCACCTTGGAAAGAATGTTATGTCGTGTGACTAGAAAAACACTAGCCAGAAGGAAAATAAACGTTATTATTACAAACCATCGCCGATAAACAATACTTGTATGTTTTAGGTAACTATGAACATAGAACTGTGGACAAATGTAAACTTCGTCTGACTGATGAGTCTGACTCTGTCTCTCCCCCAAACCCCCCTCCCCCTGGGTTGTCACTAGTACCACAGCCACAATGTCCAAATTGGCTTTAGAAACATTCATGAAAACTGTGCCGTTTGGTCTTTAATTTTAGGTTAGGGTAAAGGCAGCCCCATGCTTCCCAACCGAAACAGGTCGTGCATATATTGGGTGGGTTCATAAATTCAATCTGGAGTGCCAGAACATGCTCAGAGTGCACTCTGGGCGTTTGTCAATTCAGAGCGTTGTCAGATTGTCCGTTTGTAAATTCAGAGCGTTGTCAGATTGTCCGTTTGTAAATTCGGAGCGTTGTCAGATTGTCCGTTTTCCCTTTGTAAATTCAGAGCGTTGTCAGATTGTCCGTTTGTAAAATTCAGAGCGTTGTCAGATTGTCCGTTTGTAAAATTCAGAGCGTTGTCAGATTGTCCGTTTGTAAATTCGGAGCGTTGTCAGATTGTCCGTTTGTAAATTCAGAGCGTTGTCAGATTGTCCGTTTGTAAAATTCAGAGCGTTGTCAGATTGTCCGTTTGTAAATTCGGAGCGTTGTCCAGATTGTCCGTTTGTAAATTCAGAGCGTTGTCAGATTGTCCCGTTTGTAAAATTCAGAGCGTTTGTCAGATTGTCCGTTTGTAAATTCAGAGCGTTGTCAGATTGTTCCGTTTGTAAATTGGAGCGTTGTCAGATTATCCATTCGTAAAATTCAGAGCGTTGTCAGATTATCCATTCGTAAATTCAGAGCGTTGTCAGATTATCCATTCGTAAAATTCAGAGCGTTGTCAGATTATCCATTCGTAAAATTCAGAGCGTTGTCAGATTATCCATTCGTAAAATTCAAGAGCGTTGTCAGATTATCCATTCGTAAAATTCAGAGCGTTTGTCAGATTATCCATTCGTAAAATTCAGAGCGTTGTCAGATTATCCATTCGTTAAAATTCAGATCGTTGTCAGATTGTCCATTCGTAAAATTCAGAGCGTTGGTCAGATTATCCATTCGTAAATTCAGAGCGTTGTCAGATTGTCCGTTTGTAAATTCAGAGCGTTGTCAGATTGTCCGTTTTGGTCCGTTTGTAAATTCGGAGCGTTGTCAGATTGTCCGTTTGTAAATTCAGAGCGTTGTCAGATTGTCCGTTTGTAAATTCGGAGCGTTGTCAGATTGTCCGTTTGTAAATTCAGAGCGTTGTCAGATTGTCCGTTTGTAAATTCGGAGCGTTGTCAGATTGTCCGTTTGTAAATTCAGAGCGTTGTCAGATTGTCCGTTTGTAAAATTCAGAGCGTTGTCAGATTGTCCGTTTGTAAATTCAGAGCGTTGTCAGATTGTCCGTTTGTAAATTTGGAGCGTTGTCAGATTATCCATTCGTAAAATTCAGAGCGTTGTCAGATTATCCATTCGTAAAATTCAGAGCGTTGTCAGATTATCCATTCGTAAAATTCAGAGCGTTGTCAGATTATCCATTCGTAAAATTCAGAGCGTTGTCAGATTATCCATTCGTAAAATTCAGAGCGTTGTCAGATTATCCATTCGTAAATTCAGAGCGTTGTCAGATTATCCATTCGTAAAATTCAGAGCGTTGTCAGATTATCCATTCGTAAAATTCAGAGCGTTGTCAGATTGTCCATTCGTAAAATTCAGAGCGTTGTCAGATTATCCATTCGTAAAATTCAGAGCGTTGTCAGATTGTCCGTTTGTAAATTCAGAGCGTTGTCAGATTGTCCGTTTGTAAATTCAGAGCGTTGTCAGATTGTCCGTTTGTAAATTCAGAGCGTTGTCAGATTGTCCGTTTGTAAATTCGGAGCGTTGTCAGATTGTCCGTTTGTAAATTCAGAGCGTTGTCAGATTGTCCGTTTGTAAATTCAGAGCGTTGTCAGATTGTCCGTTCGTAAATTCAGAGCGTTGTCAGATTGTCCGTTCGTAAAATTCGGAGCGTTGTCAGATTGTCCGTTTGTAAATTCAGAGCGTTTGTCAGATTGTCCGTTTGTAAATTCGGAGCGTTGTCAGATTGTCCGTTTGTAAATTCAGAGCGTTGTCAGATTGTCCGTTTGTAAATTCAGAGCGTTGTCAGATTGTCCGTTCGTAAATTCAGAGCGTTGTCAGAGATTGTCCGTTCGTAAAATTCGGAGCGTTGTCAGATTGTCCGTTTGTAAATTCAGAGCGTTGTCAGATTGTCCGTTCGTAAATTCAGAGCGTTGTCAGATTGTCCGTTCGTAAAATTCGGAGCGTTGTCAGATTGTCCGTTTGTAAATTCAGAGCGTTGTCAGATTGTCCGTTTGTAAATTCAGAGCGTTGTCAGATTGTCCGTTCGTAAATTCTGAGCATTGTCAGATTGTCCGTTTGTAAATTCAGAGCGTTGTCAGATTGTCCGTTTGTAAATTCGGAGCGTTGTCAGATTGTCCGTTTGTAAATTCAGAGCGTTGTCAGATTGTCCGTTTGTAAATTCAGAGCGTTGTCAGATTGTCCGTTCGTAAATTCAGAGCATTGTCAGATTGTCCGTTTGTAAATTCAGAGCGTTGTCAGATTGTCTGTTCGTAAATTCAGAACGTTGTCAGATTGTCCATTCGTAAAATTCAGAGCGTTGTCAGATTGTCCGTTCGTAAATTTGGAGCGTTGTCAGATTGTCCGTTCGTAAAATTCGGAGCGTTGTCAGATTGTCCGTTTGTAAATTCAGAGCGTTGTCAGATTGTCCGTTTGTAAATTCAGAGCGTTGTCAGATTGTCCGTTCGTAAATTCTGAGCATTGTCAGATTGTCCGTTCGTAAAATTCGGAGCGTTGTCAGATTGTCCGTTTGTAAATTCAGAGCGTTGTCAGATTGTCCGTTTGTAAATTCAGAGCGTTGTCAGATTGTCCGTTCGTAAATTCAGAGCGTTGTCAGATTGTCCGTTCGTAAATTCAGAGCGTTTCGCTCTCGGAGCGTTCAGACCGCACACTGGACGCTCTGGCCGAGGAGTAGGGTTGATCCGAGCGTCCTGACCTCACAACGGCAGTCAAGCACCCAAGCTAACTGGCTAACGTTGGCTAGCTTGCTAGCTAATTCCAGACACAAATGAGAGAACAGCTCACTCTGACCATTTTACTCGCCCTAGCAGAGCTGGTTAACGTAACTGTGCTGCTGGCAACAATTTAATTAAGCTTTTTTGCTGACTTTACTGACATATTCAACGGGTGCCATACTCAACGGGTGTTGAGCGTACGTAAATTCATCAGTTATTCTGCGCTCTTGCACACTCAGACGAGAGCGCTCTGAAATCGGAGTAGATAGCCAGAGTGCATTTACGAACGCACCACCCATTAAGACGACATTTTGTGACTTTTTTGTTCATTTTTGGTGTTCATTTAGGGTTTCTATTGGCTGTTCGGGCACACAATTTTTTTCTCAAGGCCAGTCGATGTTCGGAGCCGAAGTCTTATGGCCCTTTGTCAGTGATTGGTCAACTGTAGGGGGTGACGTGAGTTTCTTCTTGTCGATTTCAGCCCGAAATGTGTCCTTTGGTCTGGAGTCCAAATTGGAGATTTTTGGTTCCAAACGCTGTGTCTTTGTAAGATGCGGTGTTGGGTGAACGGATGACTCTC